GATTGACTATGATGTCAATCTAGCCCGTGACAGTATCTTACAGTTTAAAGAAACAAATATTGACTTTTTTAGAGGTCTTTCTGTTGGATTTATGTGTGTGCAATATGAGAGTAAAGAATAAGATTTTGAATTTTTGAGCCGCAATTTATGGGCGTAACTATGGTCATATGAGATGTGCTTATTTTAATGCTAAATCATGACACCGCTTTCATTGTATAGTTGCCGTCCAAACCTAATTAGTTTGGGACTTTGGGACTTTCTAGGGCATTAACCACTATTTGGGACTAGCTAAAGCCGTGGAACTCCCAAACTTACTGTATGAATTGGGATTTGGGACAAAATTTCAGATATATCCAATTCGGACCAATAGTTATAACTATTTGGACGGAAACTATATTTCATTGAGGTTAAGGAGAATAGTGATGCGGTAGAATTGTCCCAATGATTGCCGTAACTAGTTACGACATAAGCTTTAGCTAATTACGACTTAAACCGAACATCATTTGGACATTATGAGACGATTATACCGCATCACTGGGGGAGAACCTATAGAATGCCAAAATATAATTAGTAGTAGAATTTTTGTTAAATATATATATATGTAAAAAAAAAAAAAAAACAACTTAAATTTGAACATTCGGTCAAATAAAAAAAGTCATGATCGGATTTTTTTGCATAACTTCTGCACGACCTAATGAAATTGCACGAAATTTTATTTTGAGATCTGCACTTTCACATGATGTAAATTCTGTGCTGCGTTTACTTACCTATTGACTGATTCCGAGAAATCAATTTTCAAAAAGTGTCCACAATAATATAGTAGGACACTGTACTTTGAATCTTTGGAATTATCGAATACATCGATTGAAATTAAATTTATATTTTACATAAACTAACCTAGTTATCCAGTTGAGCATAATTTATTCTGGGCTAGACATCAAAATCACGGTTCCCGGTTGACGAGTTAGCTGGTCGAATCTCTAATATACATTTATCTTTAGCAACAAATTAAAATTATTTCTTTATTAACAGTTAAGCAAAAAACATTTTACAATGCTAAATATAATTTATGATACTAAATATATAAATAAATACTGTATACCGTATATTATATGCTGTATATATCTTTTTTTTTTTCTAAAAAAAAAAAATTATTTAAAAAATATCTATACGTTAATAAAAGAATATAATAATGTATAAAACCCTAAAATTACAAAAAGTAGATTCGCTTTTAGATTTTTAAAAGAAATAAATATTATTAATACAATGAATAATGAATACAATATTAAAGTATGGTACATATATAATATGAATTCTATTTGTAATTTGTGAATAGTACTTTTTTTTTTCTTTTTTAGATTATTAGGAACAAAAATATATTTCTAAAAAAAAAAAATTATTAAGTTACGGTTTTTATCATACATCCCTTTCAATTAAAATTTCAGGTTGTAATTTAGTTAAAGGTGAATGTGATACAATATCAGCGAGACTACCAAATGTACTAGGTCGAGGCTTATTACGTTTATCAGTATGGTTTGAATTTGAAATTGATTGATCACTTTTTGCTAATTCAGGTGATTTAACAGGTTTGGACGTTGTTTTGACTGGTATAGGTGATATTGATGAATCATTTTTTTCAGGATAAGAAAATCTATTGGATGATGATGATGATGAAAATGATGATGATATTGTTGTTGATTCGTATGAAGCTGGAAAAGAATTTCTAGTAGGATTATTAAGCATTGACCTATATCGATCGCTTGGGTTAAATGAAACTCTAGTGGGTGAATTCGTAAATGATATTGGAGATAATGGAGCAGGAAAAGTAGCAGTGTTAGGAGATAATGGAGCAGGAAAAGTAGCAGTATTAGGAGATAATTGAACAGGAAAATTAATAGTATTAGGAGTTATTGGAGGGGTGGAAAAATTAGTCCTGGTAGGAGAGGGAGAGCTAAGTAGCATTCTACTCGAAGTTGTAGGGCTAAAAGGGCTTAATGGTCGTTGTATTCCGTTTATTGGGGGAGGGCGACGTATTCCATATATTGGAGTAGGAGGACGCTGAGGAGGCGTGGATGTGGATGTATTACTAGAATGCTTAAATCCGTAAATTATCGAGTTGAATAAGCCGTCACATATGAAAAAACAAGTTGCTACTATTATACTATTTAAAAGAATTTTTTATCATATTATTAGTTTGAGAAACAAGTATCTATATTAATAATTTGAAAAAATAGTATTTTATACATACTATACAAAGGGAAGTTCGTAATCAATCATAGCGGCAAATCGGTCTAAAAGTATACAATATATAGTATCAATATATGATTAATTTTATACATTCACATGTTTTTGCAGCATCAATAAAAAATTACTTACGAATATTCAATGGAACTACAAGAATAATGTAGGCTAATGGATACCATATTAATATCTTATTAACGTATTGAGAATTTTTTTTTAGTCTACAATATAAAATTGCCAATAGAATGATCACTATGATGGTAATTGCCAAGGTAATAAAATAATTAAAACCAATTCTAGAAGTTTTATAATTATAAGAAATCCAACACCAAGAACTATGTGTGGCATCATAAAAAGGAGAATTAGGAGTTTGAATTGCCAAACCCAAGAGGGAAATTATTAAATTAAGAGGCCATATTATAATCATGCTTATGATTACCAAACGTGAACAGTCGTAACGAGCGGGCATATACATATAAATACATAACACAAGTATCCAAAACCCTGATATTATATAAATGAAATTTGTATTAAAAAAAAAAAAAATTGAAAATTATATGAAACAATATAAAGATAAGAAAACTACCTGAAGTAACGTCACCAAAGTTTATAAGAAAACCTTGTATACTACAGATGGCACCTGTTTCTATAACACCAAATCTTAACCAGTTATAATTAAACATGAAACCCAAACACAGGAAAAAATTTGAAGCGATCAAATTTAACACTAAAAAAGAGTCCATTGTCGGTCTTATATTTTTTTTCATTATTTTCCATATAGGGAGTATAAAAGATGTAGCGTTACTTAACGTGCTAAAAAAGCACACAATCATCATTGCTTTAACATATTTATCTGTAGAAATTTGATTATTGACGTTATCTGAGACAGTATTATTTAAAGAAGAACTCATAATGAAAAATTAAAGATAATTTACGAAGGAGAATACATGAAAGTAGACGAGATTATATTTAGATAATAAATAAATGAAAAGGTGAGAAATCAATATCATTTAAAAATTTTGTACCCGAGGAAAAAAAACGGAAAAGAATGAATTCGGTACAATGCTTTTAGGAGAGTAAAAAGTTCTAGCGAAAATAATGATGCGTACGTTCGTACATACGTACAAATCAGATATTTATAAAAATTCGAGTAAATACTGTATTACATAAGAAAGATACTAATATAAGTCTGTAAATTAATTAACAAGTATAAAATTAATTTAAAGGCCTAAATCCAGAAATTAGTTGTTTATCTTAAATGCACTAAACCAATCAAGGAATTTCATGAATTAACACAAGGCTTTGGCGACATAACAAACAAATCCTATCATACGACTTGTTGTATTGTGTACATATAAAAAACCAAAAAAGAGAATGTTTTAAGCCAATAAAATTTTCGGAATTGTTATTGATACGTTTCCTTCAAATATCATATACATTTATTTCGTACGTATGTGCATAAAAAAATTAAAATTGTATAGTTCTTTATATAGAAACAACTCTACATAGGTTTGCGACCTCACGTGAAAAGTACGTACGTACGTACAATATGTATCAATTATACTGTATCAACAGGAGGAACCGTCAATGTTACACAACCGAACCTTCACCTGGTGTGCAACATATTAAAAAATTAATTTACAATACCAGATCATTCCGCTAGTACATGTTATGATTATAATCTCACACCATTTTTATTATAATAAAATGTTGGGATTATAATCATAACATGTACTAACAGTATTGTAAATTAATTTTTTTATATATTGCACACCAGGTGAAGGTTCAGTCGTGTAACATCGACGGTTCTTCCTGTTTACTGTATCTGTTATTATACCACATGATGTAGTCTCAGTAACGGTCTCTATACAATATTCGTATGTGCGTGCGTATAACAGATAAAGAATTCGAGAGGATGGTTATGCTCTATGACGCATATAGTACGTATTCTGTTCGCACTATAAGTGATAAAAGGTACTGTACAACGAATACTAAATTGGTCCCGAACAATCGTCGAATAAATTTTAAACAAAATGGTATTTGGTTTTCTTCGTCATACGTGCGTATGTAAAATATTACCCTGATGGACTTGCTAGTTATGAATTTCGTCGGTAAATACTGTAACAATTGAAACGTTTTCTTTGATAATCTAACAATAATAATAATTATAATAATTATAATAATAATACTGTAATATGAATATAGTACAATATAGTAACACAAAATGAGTAAATACGTTTGTAGAATAAAGTCATTAAAAGTAATTATGTCTATAACTTGCCCTACCCTAACGCGAAAAAATTTGTTATTAATTATTTAAGAAGTTTTATATGATTTGTCAGCTGCGTCTATTTAGAATTATGTAAGAACAAAATCTTGTACGTACGTACATACGTACATATGAGTGACGCCAAGAAAAAAAATTTTATACGTATATTGAGTCACAATCTCCCTCAAATATGTAAATTAATATTAGATTACGACATTTATTTATTACACACAATTCTAAAAAAGGAGAAAATATTTATACAAATAACGAACTTTTAAAAAAGGAAATAGTCAATCATAGAGGCAATTTGTGCTACTTCGATTTTAGAGCATATGGATAAATATAATGACATTATGTATTCATTAGTTAAATAATTCAAAATTCTAATTTCTGATATCTAAAACGTTTATAATACAACGATTAAAATCGATAATCGTACGATTCATGAATAAAATTTATGCTCATAAGTGCTTGAACGATAGTAATATAATACTAGTCATAAATAAATCATAGAACACATAGTAACATCAATAAAATCATGTTTCCGGGGAAAATAACAGATCTCTACCCCGGAATTGATAAACTCATTGTCTCTCTCTGTGTAAACTGTGTAAGCAAAATTGTCATTTTCGTATATGATGTACATCACTTGATCACTCATGCGACCAATAAAAACACTTAGAATATCAGTCACTAATATTAAATAAACATTAATGTTAATTAAAACTGTGTACAGTATAACAAACAGATTATAAGAGATATGAAATCATAAAAATGGTAAAAATAAGAATGATAAAAATTTTTGTAGTGACACCATCATAGATATAGACACGTGTTAAGGAAATAAACCCTAGATTAGTTAAAAACAATGAGTATGAATTTTAAATGCGACGAATGATAAAACATATGTGCATACGTTATATTGAAAGTAATTGCTGGTATGTACATTTATACTGTATAATTACGTAGTATATCCATCGATGGGTTACGAACGATATAAATAGCTGAATATATATATATATATGTCGTGATTAAAAATTCTACAGTAGGAAAATGATGCCGGGGACTTCGGATAATTGTTCAGTCGTCCCAGAATTTATGAAAAAAAAAAAAAACAAAAGATCGAGCTATGATCACATATTGAGATTTATAGATTAGATAATAGATAATAAAATACGGATAGTTACATATAATTTTATGTGTCACTTAAAGACAATTATTAATTTAATAATTAAATTTGGAATCGAAACGTTATAGGTTCTATATCTTCCAACTACGTAATGTACGTATTTATATGTTGTACGTCGAAATCGAATTTTTATGGATTATAAATCGATTAAGTTGTAACACAATTCTTTGATGGAAAGAGAATTCAATTTCTGTTTGGTATACAGATTTAGAATTAATTCGGTCAATAGCTCAATTATAGATTGTCAGCAACTTTGCTAAAAATCGGTTTATTGCGTTTATTACAGAACAAATTGAATCATAGAAACTTTGTTTTAAATAAAAATCCCGAATATGAACGATAATAAAGGTTAATATTTTAGAAAATAAATCAAGAGTTCTTGAAATTACATACAATTTGATTGAAATTCTTTTTTTATGCTTGAGCTATTATGTGACTAGTCCGTCAAAAGTTGCAAATGCATAAAAACATCATCATATACACAGTCTTATTACGCATATAAAATGTAGCCGCATTAGTCAATGCGAATGTGAAGTAGCTATCAACGTGGATAATCACGTAAGGTCCAAATGCAACTATTTTGTAAGAATCATATGCTATATGAAGTACCTCGAAATTTTATCATTTATAAAATTTTATGTTTTAGAATTATAATTCATTGGTGAAGTTCTTCTACTAATCAAAATTATGTCTATATTTTTTCACTAGTGTAAGATCTTTTCAGAATATATTATAATACACGATGTGAAAATTCATCATTTGCGATTTTAAAAATTTAAATAGATTCGGGGATCAATTCAAAATTTCCTTATTAACTATATAGATATAAAATTTCCAGTAAATATATTTAGAATCTTCTTAAGTGGATTCTAAATGTAAATATTTTGACGTACAACATATATAATACGTGTATACATGGTTGAAGCTGCAAATACTATAGTTCTTTGAATAAATTTGCATATTTAGAAATTGTAATGCTGTAATGTTTAACTACGTAATTTTTAAGGAATTACAGAAATTATTGCGCTTTTCAAAGGACCTCGTGATTTTCGTGATAATTATCGAGAGAAAAATTCCGAGATTCTAGATTGTCTATTTAATCATATTTTTCGATATATTATAGCGGTTTGTAGAAAGGTGTGACAGCATGATTTTCATGATGACCGTAGATTATAGACAGTAGTAGTAGTGACGTCTATATTTTATTATAGGAAATCTTAAAATTTTCAGAGGATCACTAAAATCTGCTGATTTCCTTTTTGATTTTACATCTGTAAAAGTCGCATCTTTTTGCAAACCACCATAACTTATATTTATTTGAAATCGGTAAATCCACAAATCTCCAATTCTCATACGACATCGTGATCACATCTTTCTGCAAAGGCAATAAATCGACTTTAACGAATAGAATTTTTAGAAACATTTTATTAAAATTTTAACTCTAAATTAAGTTCTGCCTTTATTTTGTCTTTTTTTTATTATTATTTAACTTGAATAAATCCACATAAACATATATTTTCTTACAGAATTATGTTTTCACCTACTTTTATCATATGATATTATGCTATATTCCATCACAAATTCACTCCAATTAGTAGCATTACTTTATTCCATTCATAGATTCTGCATACCATTATAACTATCACGTTCGGATACAGGTTTTAACTTTATCACTGCTTAATATTTACATCCAACTGCATATAGCCTTCTACACAACTTTAATCTTTTACAGGGGAATAATTTTGTTGAATGGTTTTGCTGTAGTTTTATCTATCCCTGCATAATAACACCATTCATTAGGTTGCAGCAAATAAAAGTTCTCGCGATGCTGCGCGTACATGCTAACAGAAACCAATCGATTTTCATGAAGTTATTACATTATTCATAGCCATTTGCATTATAAAAGTTATCAAACTAAGGAAGGGTCTATTAAAAGAACAAGTTTGAATTAGTGCAGTTTTATTACTACGCATAAAGTGAGAATCAGAACTTTAGAATAATAAACTTTGTGATATACTTTTACTTACTTCGTATAGTTACACATAAAAATACTGTGTATCTACTTGGGGCCGTATTAATAATAATAATAATAATAAAGTTAGCTTCGTTGACAACCAATTAAATTTCACTTTATTACAATGCCCTTTATAGTAACTCGTAATTCGTGTCGCTAAAATAATAAATTTTATAACTATGTATAAAGTATCAAAGAACTTTTTATAAAAAGTTAGGCTATTTGCAAGTTCCGGCATTAAAATATAGTACCGAGCACAGAACGGAAACTATGCTTTAATAGTACCGTGACTATGCTCTTAGTTACAATAATAACAGTATGCTTATCACAGAATTATGCAAGAACGTGGATGACAGTTCAATAAAAAAAAACATTTCAGTTAAATTAATGCAAAACGGATGTACAGTGCCGAAAGTACGTATGTAGTAGATCTTTTTTTTTTGGAATTTTTTTTTAATCATGATTTCTCTGCAATAAATATGTACACAATTGTTTTCAGCCAATTGATTCAAAAATAAGAACTCGGAACAAATTATATAAGCAAAAAAAAAAAAAATAAAAAAAAAAATCCTTAAAAAAAAGGACATTTTAAAATGTACTAAGTAAATATAGTCGAGGTTCTAAGTAAAAATATTCAGGACACCTGAAAATCTCACGAGAACTGAGATCGGGACCTTAGATCCAATCTATATAAAAACATCTATTTATCTTAAAGCTGCAATCTACCCTAAATTTAATAGGGTGGTTATTTCTAACCATCGGCATAAGGAATAATAATTCAAAAAAAAAGGTCAATTGGTAATAAATTGTACCCGTAATTTTAATCAATTAGTCAAAAGTGTATATTAAATGCCCATTTCCCTCTAAAGGAGTTTATTACTCAATAAAATATTGAAATTGTTAATTTTCAAATTTGCGAATAAAATTTTGAATTTTAGATTTTTAGTTATAGATCTCGGTTATCCGACGTGTTACAAATTATTATTGGCAAACATTCGAACTTGTACTTACGCCATAATAAAGAGTGTCAAAATTCTGGAATAAGATCTATTTGTTATTTCTTTGCACAGTGAGCGTTAACACAATTATAAAGCTATAGGTGGCTTTTGCGAAGATTTAAATTAGTTATCCAGGCATTTGCCAATCAAACAAACTTCTGCCTATTATAATAAATATTTTTGCCCATGTCTCACTTCTAATCCTTTAACAGTTAAGTTGCCACTTACCTTCCATGATCGTACTATCATCTTACCTCATTAGAGTGTCTGGCACGCCAAAAAAATTTGGCATGCCACAGGGCATGCCTTTTGTTAAAATTTGTGCCATGCCATAAAATATTATATATTATTTCTGTATTTATAATACTATATATATGGTTTGAATATTATAAATATACTGTACTTTGGCATGCCAAATTTGTTTTTGGCATGCCTTTGCCACTATGCCAGAAACTCTACTCATAGTATTAGGCATTATTACGTATTTTGGTGGCTTGATTCATGCAACTGCGTATACGTTCAAAATATCGCGTATACGCGATTACAGAAATTGTAATCTTCACGCCTTTGACGCAAATACGGAATCTACAGCTTAAGTGTTGATAATTCCGTATTGACGTTTTGAAAATCAATTTGTGCGTAAGAGCATGCTCACGATCTTGGTTGAGCATAACATTCGCTTTCCAAATTTCTCTCTATAATTAAGATTTCATAAATTCATTTATAATAAACATCAAATAAATCATAAATATCCGTATTCCATAATTTACTGTCAAATTCGTCAACTATCGATATTAAACTCAACATGAAAGTACCAAGCTCCCCTTTCGATTGTTACATTATAATAAGCAGATGAACTATCTGAATAAGCTAAATAGATACGTATCGAATTATTCTGATCCAAACACCATATTTGGTAGTGAATAAAGACATAATATAATGTTCGATAGATTGAATACATATATGTATCATTTAATAAATATTTATACTGTATTTTTTGTTGAATTTATCATCAACATAATAAAGAATTTAGCCATTAATATATAATAATTAATTGTGCTAATTTAAGATATAGCATTTCTTTATAAATTTGCATTTTTATAAGTATACAAATAGACATAAGCTTAAGTCATAAAAACAGAAATCCTTGCCTCTAAGCTAATTTCTATTACAGTATATACATGTAATTCATATAATATATTATAAAAAGGAACTATTGGAGAAATTAGTTAATATTAAATCTTGAGCTTATGAATCGTAATTGTCCGAGCAAGGTACAAAATTGTATCCGAAAATATTCCTTTCTGCGTATATACTTAACTGGTTGAACTGGTATCATTTGTAAACTATTTTATATAGATAGAATAATTGTCCGTTTTGATTGCTTTGATTAAAAATGAATAAAGACAGTGCAGTAACATCATATATAATCTTTATTATTTATTTGTCGTCATTTTGGATCGCGTTCCCGTTAATTTGCTATTTGAGTCGACATTGCTGTTTTTCGGGTATCATTGAAGCCAATCTTTTTCTTCAAACATATTACTTGTAAATTTTTGTTCAGATATATAAATCCTTTATTGAATTTTAGGGAACTTAAATATAAATTATTAATATTCTGCCTTTGTGAATATAGTTTTATTTACGTTATTAGTTTTTTTTAATAATCAGATTTCTGATTAATTAAAATTTCTGCAGGGGAAAGCGATATACTAAAATCAAGATTTACTACAGGGTTAGAGTCGAACATCGCCTGAATTTAAAATAGCATAGAAAGGTCTTCCACTCTATCCCCTTCACGCCAACCCAACAATAAGAAAAAGTGCATTTATGAAGATTACGTGTATATATATACATTGAGGCTATAATTTAAGAATGCATTTGGAAAGTTCATTTAGAAAGTATTTACTTAGAAAGGTTTCTTTGTACATTATTGGTATTACTTAATACTAGCCTAACTGAATATGATTTTGATCCACGACTTTCTTGAAGAAAACTGTGTAATCTTGGAAATTGAGACCTGCACTTAGCCCGACAATCGATCTTTTCAATAACTATAGAGTGATAAATTTCAGGCAAATATTAAATTTAAAAGGTATTACTATTTTTAATAATTTATATATTGTTATTTAATGTTAATATAAACCAAATATTTAAAACATGTTCTTAAATAATATTCTATCTTTTTTGACATTCATTACAGAAAGTCGTCTTGTGAAAACTCCACGACACAGATCAATGCCAATATTTACGTGAATTTGGGTTGTATAGATCAGCGAAGATTTTGGCTAAGAAATTCGTCTTGTGTAGGGTGTCACCATTTAACACATCTTTGTACAATAGGGTCTCTTAATGCTAATACTAATCCATCAGAATATGTGTTTCAGGCCGAATTACTACCGTTCTCCTAATTTTTATCCTGCGTTATTAGTGTAGTCAAAAACATGATCAGCATAAACATGGATATTTGTAGTTGAAGCGAAAAATACATAATTAATCTCTACCGATAACAAGCTGGCTGATGAGTTTGGATCAGACTATTCAGAAATGACTTTCGTTTATTGAGTACCGATATCAAATATATAGGTGTCATTGTCAGCTGGTATCGTTATTGGACATTATTATTACGTGCACATAATATATAGGGTAGATATAGCATACAAAAATTCTAGAAAACTGTATCATTTCGCATGTTTGATTGAGATGTATTTAGCTATTAATTTGATGATAACGATTTTTGGTCTAAATTGAAAATAAATAAAATCAGTAAATAGTTTATTTTTTCATTAAAATGGTCTTTCAACTTTAAAATCCCCAATACTTCGATTGAAAGATCAGCTTTAAACAAAATAAATAAAAAAAAAAGAATAGCATATTCTAATGACTCATTTGTCGAATTATCAACTACAGTGAACCTCCTTTATAATCACAAATTTGAGTTCATACGAACTTTTTTTAAAAGAGTGCTTATAAAGAGGTTGTGCTTTTATAGAGGTATTTTTTTTATATATTTAATAGTAAATTATTTTTAATAAAAATGTGATATATAGAGAGGTTTTTATATGATGAGATTATAGGGAGGTTTACTATATATACAACCCCTCTAGCATGACCAGTGATTTGAACCGAGCCGAGAAAAATTTCTTTATTCGGTTAATCGAACAGAATTATTTTATTCAACCGGTTGTATCAGTTACGTTTTATCTTCGGAAATTCTTGGAGCTTTGCTCAAATTTTTGTCTCAACTGTCCCGTCTTTTATGTTCATTCATTTTCTTTCGGAACTTTTCGGAGCCTTTCACTCTCTTTATATCATTTTCATAATATATCGATCCTGCCAACCGATTACGATTCTCAACCGGATGTACCGGTCAAAGATTAAGAATTTTCTCAATCGGTTAACCGAAATTTGTTCGGTTCGGGTCGATTAACCGATTATAGCCAACCGATTCAAATCACTAATTTTAAATTTATTACCAATAAAAAGTATTCTTGTTTCGTTTATTCCAGGTTTTTGGAAGGTTTTGCTTGGTTCAGATTTTTTATATCGTCTACCATCTTTTGAATCGAGTTGAAGCTTGATTCAATATTTTTCAACCATTCTCTTTGCTGCGGACGGCTATAAGAATTTTCAAGAAGGTCAAGCGTCTATATTAGAGTAATATTGATCTTACTTTTATCATCAGGAAAATTTTAAATTGGTTGGCAATCTATTGACAGAAAGAAATGTCAATCGATAAGCAGCACACCTGCCGATTACCAGCGATACTGATTGGAATTGATTGACAACAAAGCTGCTAATTAAAATCGATTAGAATCGCTTTGATTGAAATCGATTTTATCAAAACTAAATTAAAATCGATTATTTTTTAATAAATTGTATATAGATTAGCTACCAATATCGATTATTGTCGATTTTTCTAATCGATAGCAATCGCCTCTTATGGTAATCGATATCCACCTTATTTAAAAATTCCCTGATGACGTTTTTTAGATTCAAGCTCCTGAAGATCACAGAACCGACACTTTTTTCGAGACAGGTTATAGTGTTAATTCGGGTTGATTGATCGACATTGATTTGTTACACATTATGGCTTGCCGAATTTAATTTATAAGGTTTTTTTTCTTAAATCTGTATATGCAAATGAGGTTTCCCTTTTCAACGCATTGTAAAGTGATTACTTTAAAAGCATTTTGTTTAACCAACAAAACAAAGAGTCATTATCTAAATAGAGAATTAAATAAATTTGCAATTACAATTCGCCACAAATCTCGTCTTTCTTATAGTAAATACTTACTGTTACGATCAAAACGTATTGCTAAAATGGCCGATGACCCCTTAGTTTGGATAGATTGTGAAGTAAGTTTATTAATATTAATGATAATTACAGTTAAAAGGGTGATGAATGATATAAACTTTTTGTTTTTTTTAATCTGTTATGTTTAATTTGTACAATAGATGACTGGGCTTGATGTAGAAAGTGATCATATTATTGAAATTGCTGTCTTGATAACCGATGGGAAATTGAATATCTTAGCCGAGGTTTATATTATCACTACTTAACATTACTTTTGTTTCAATAAATATATATATAATCATTGCGTCATTTTTATTACGTTCAAAGGGACCAGTTCTTGTTATTAATCAGTCACAAGAAACGATGGATAAAATGAATGATTGGTGCAAACAACATCACGGTGATGTTAGTATCATTTTATTAACTTATTTTTAAAGTACTATTTATTTGATAAAAATATGGAATATCAATTTTAATAACACAAGGTTCAATATACATTCTTATCCAACAGTCAGGATTAACTGCAAAAGTTTTATCATCCACGATCACCACATCAGATGCATCCGCTCAGATTTTGGAATTCTTAAAAAAACATATTCCCAAAAAAGGGATCTCCCCTTTAGCAGGGAATAGTGTTTATGCGGATAAAATGTTTTTGAAAAAAGAAATGCCTGAAATGGTTGATTGGTTACATTATAGAATCATTGATGTTAGTAGTATTAAAGAATTATGTAGAAGATGGTATCCTAGTATTTTTGAAACCGTACCGAAAAAAAACTCTAATCATAGAGCATTGGAAGATATCAAGGAAAGTATTGATGAATTAAAATTTTATAAAAAACATATCTTCATTGATGAAAGTAGTATTAACTCAGCAGCAAATAAGAAAAGAAAAGATGGAGCAGAATAAATTTAACGATATGATGAATGTAAAGATAATCATTATCTTTTTTAAAAAATAAAGACATTATCCACTTAGTAACGATATCGATATTATGTGAAAATAATTTTCTTGGATAAATACATACCAAAGTTTGAATACTGTACACCTTCACACGATATGATGCATCACTTTGATTTATTCCACGAGATAAATTTTTATGCTACAAGTTTTTACATAGTGAGGGATCTATATTTCATAAATCGTTCCACAGTATGCTCAACGTCGAATGCATACTTTCGAAAAAATTGCTTGAGAACTTAACTCTAAACACTATATTATTAAAACTACAAAACCACATATATATCTTTTCTACAATGGAAATCAATTATTTCAACGCGTTTTTATCAATCGTATCAGTATTAGTTCGTGATTGTTAATGTACCTTAGCATTTAATATCAATAATATTATTAACTTATGATCAAAATTAGAGATGTACCTTGCAATTGATGATGATTTCATCCTCGCGCAAGTTATTTCACCATACCTTGCGCAAGGTAGATCCTTAATTTAAAAAAGTCAGCATTGGTAATTAGATATTACTGGAACTAATGAATTCGCTAGATTCAAAATTCCGCTTTAGATGACGTTACCTTGCACCTCGCGCAAGATCATATGGGCTTGGTATTGCAAAACCGACAAAACAAAAGATCTTCGGAAAATCAATTTTTATGTTATAAATTTTATAATAAATCATGAGGAAATACAAACTTTAAAGAGCTATACCGCAAAATTTTATTAACATAATTGGGTTTGTTTTTTAAGTGAAAAATGATTCTAATCTTATTTTATATTGATCTGTGCAAAAAAAAAACTAGGTTGAAAATTTTGAAATTTTGTCGATTTATCCCCTTTTGTAGCACCTAGCCCAGTTAATAGATGTAATGGTTAGCAAACATTTCCAAGAAACAAACCAAAATATCACAAATAATAAGAATTATAAACTAAAATTTATAGATTACGTGAGAAGAAAATATTTATCTCTGAAAAAATTGTAAAAATTTAATACAATAGTGGTACCTTTCTAAGTGTATACTGAATAAATAACATTTATGTTATTTAATTTAAATATAAATTTGAGAATTTGTTCTCGATTTCTACTATGCTCATCGGTTTACTAAAAATATATTCAAAAAATTTTTTGTATCATATTACAAGTGATTTTTGACAAGGCGAACGTTTGGTTTTGAATATTCCTGATCATGTAACATTATGCCTGATCTTGAAATCTGATTTATTTGCACCACAAAACTGTCACACGTCTGCAACTTTTTGGAGGCGAATTTGGGGTAATTCGTTAAGTCACTTAATTATTAAAATATATATATAATTGTGTATTAAGACACGAATAAGCATAAGATTTTTATTTAATAAATATGAATGTCAAACTGTTGATTACTGGTAGGAAATCGAGGACTATTTATACATGTTAATCGACTATAATATTTAAAATTATTTTCATCTTCTTTTTGAATCTATGTCTCAAACGTTCTTTGAAATCTTTTATTTAATAACTTTATAAAAATATAAATATTGTATTTAAAAATGATTGAGGATTACTTACATGCTAACCATTTAACAAAGCCATTTTCTAAGAATGCTGTTTTAACTTTGTATCTATATTAAATATTGGAGGGATTATAATTTCTACATATTAACTAAAGACCAAAAAATAAGTTAAAATATCCGTTTTTTTGAAAATTGACATCTAAAACTGCTTTTAATAGTTAATACCATACCAATTAATTATAAAATACTATAGAATTTAAAGAAAAGGTAAAATAGTGCTTCATTATACAGTAATTAGGTGAATCCTAGAAGTTTTGTGTTGGAAAAGTCAAAACTGGTTTTGACTTTGCTAAAAAAAGATTTGAAATGATGAAATGTGAACTCGGTGAAATTAACGATATTGAAGAAAGTGTAACCTGATAAATGGATATGAGAGGTAGTAAATTTTACAAAAGACATCGAAATAAAATAAATTAAATAATATTTATTATTATTTTGAAAAATGGTTCCTTCGAAAAAAAATTTACAGCTCTTCTTCCTCATCATTCTTATTAGCCACTGAATTAAATTGGCATTAAAATAATTGATTATTTTAATTTCATTAATAAAATATTGCTAGATTATTTAGTTGATTTATCACCTAAGTATCTTACATATATGGATAAAATCTAAAAATATGCATATGTACAGTACAAAGAACCTGTCATTTTTGGATAGGGTCATAAATAGCTATTAAATTGCACAAAGACATAGAAATTATTTATTTTGTGTACTTATATAAATATCTTTTGTATTTGTTTTATGTTCTTAGCAATAAGTTAACATATAATGTTTATTTGTTAAAGAGTAAAATAAAATTAAATAGTTAATTGATGGTCAAGATTCTTTAAAGGCGGTAACGAAATTAATTTTGTTATTTTTAATTAGATAAAAATTGCACTTTTTATTTGGCTTAATATACGATATCAAATTTGTATGAACATACATATTTTTTTTCCTTCGATTTGGCTGGGGAAAAAAAATCTTATAATAGCGCTTGATACAAAGAAGTAAATTTAATTTTCAAATTTCTTGTTTCCAAATATCATTAAGTTTCTGAGTTCGCAAATCTCAACTGTAATTTTATTACCAGTACGATCATATGAAATATGAGAGGGATGGTTTGAATGTTTTTTGCTGTGGCCTATGCTGATTTTGAAAAAATCCTATTTTAGAAAGGGTAATGATTTTCATTTATCCATTTTCAGAAGGAGTTAAG